ATCCAGCCTTGAACAACTGGCCCCTGGAGAAAATTTGATTGTACAGTGCATAATTATATGTGTAACCTATAATTATATATTTACTAATAAATACATTTAATATTCTAATCTAGTATTTCTTCATATGAAATTATTACGGCTTCAAGTGAACATGACAGAGGTACAGTTGCAGCAACTTGATGTTGCAGAAGAGGAAATAGTTTTATGCAAGAGATAAAACTCACTAGGTGGCAGTTATGTGACATATCTGCTTGGTAGATAATATACAGATAATTTCAGAGGCGCCGGAGAATCGATAATTGGGGGGGGGGGGGCAGATATTCATATATTCGTGTTCTGCCCAATTAATTTCTTTTGAAATCGATTGTTTTTACAGTCTGTGAACATGAATATATGAATATCTGCCCCCGCTATTATCGATTCTCCGGCGCCTCTGGATAATTTTATCTGTAGGGAAACTATACTGTCACATAACTGTGACAGATATGTTATTGGGCCAAATTCCTATATGTTGCAGATATGTGACAGATATCTGTCATATAACTGTGACAGATATCTGTTACATAACTGTGACAGATATCTGTCACATAACTGTGACAGATATGTTATGGGGCCAAATTCCTATATGTTGCAGATATGTGACAGATACTTTCATACATATATTTTGCAGATATTTTACAGAACTGTGACATATACAGTACCTGTCGTGAGTAAGGGTATGTCCACTCGCGCGTAGCGAGTACTCACGAGTACTCGTTCTGACTCGCTACTTGCGAGTGCTTGCGAGTCAAAAGGCTCAGACAATTTGTACATATAAGAAGTGAATAATTCAGCTAAATGAAATAAAATGCCATAGTATATGAAATCGTGTATGTTAGATATTAGCGTGTTTATAAACGACTGCCACATGGTGGGACATATTTTCTTCGAACAAAGTTTGTAGATGGATGGACAGTCTTAGAAGCGTTAACTATAACTGAGTCTATATCAATCAAAACAAAGCTTTAAAAGTGAAACTGCAGTCAAAACGGTAAAAATGACACCAAAATGCAAATGATTGTACGAACAAATGCCATATTTAAGTATGGGACTATATATCGATATATATATTCAAATATGGTCCGGTTGTAAGAATTGGCATCAAGTTCACTGATGCTATTTAACAATACTGAAATGTCGAGTACTCGTCGACGTTGTCTTGTAGTTCCCGTAAGATTCGAGAATCAAATTAGGAGTAAAAACGTAATACTGTAAAGTGCAAAGTGACAAAATATAACTTACATTGTATATGCTGCTAGCATCCGTCTTGAATGGGGAACCATTACAAACTCACAGTTTCTCATTATAAGCGGCTTGATGCGCTGAATCCAATTGAAGATAATATCGATTGAACCCCATGGAACAACGAAACACGAACATACTGTGTATTTATTGAAAAAAAAATCAATTATACTAGTCAGTCTCATATAGTCGACAATATCCTGCCTATACTAATACAAGTATTGCCGATTGTTTTGGCAGGACTCATGCATGCATGGTCATTATGATATTAAAGACATCAGCCATGAAATATTTGCGGAGGCATGGTGTGCTTTGTGTGTGTTAGATCTGTGAATTTAAATATTTTAGAGTTTATTATGGTCTGAATGTTTTTGGCAACTGTCAGAAAAATTTAAGCTGATCGTGTTTGGGGTTTTTTCCCCCGTTATTTTTTATTTCCGGGGTATTTCATGGCTGATTTCTTTAATATCATAATGACCATGCGTGCATGAGTCCTGCCAAAACAATCCACACTTGTATTAGTATAAGTGGGATATTGTTGACTATACAAGACTAGTATAATTGATTTTTTTGCGATAAATACACAGTATGTTCGTGTTTCGTTGTTCCGTGGGGTTCAATCGATATTATCTTCAATTGACAATTGGATTCAGCGCATCAAGTCGCTTGACTATAACGAGAAACTGTGAGTTTGTGGTGGTTCCCGATTCAAGACAGATGCTAGCAGCATATACAATGTAAGTTATATTTTGTCACTTTACAGTAATATGTTTTTACTCCTAATTTGATTCTCGAATATTACTGCAACTACAAGACAACGTCGATGAGTACTCGATATTTCAGTATTGTTAAACAGCGTCAGCGAACTCGATGCCAATTCTTACAACCGCACCATATTTGAATATATATAGTCCCATACTTAAATATGGCATTTGTTCGTCCAATCATTCGCATTTTGGTGTCATTTTTACCGTTTTGACTGCGGTTGCACTTTTAAAGAATTGTTTGGATTGATATATAGACTCAGTTATAGTTAACACTTCTAAGACTGTCCGCCCATCTACGAACTTTGTTCGAAGAAAATATGTCCCACCATGTGGCAGTCGTTTATAAACACGCTAATATCTATCATACAAGGTTTCATATAACTATGGCGTTTTATTTCATTTAACTGAATTATTCGCTTCTTATTTGTACAAATTGTCTGAGCCTTTTGACTAGCAAGCACTCGCAAATTGCGAGTGCTTGCGAGTGAGATGAAATGCGAGTACTCGCGAGTAGCGGATCAGAACGAGTACTCGCGAGTACTTACTCGCGACAGGTACTGTATCTGCCACATATCTGTCAGTTTGGTAAGGGTACACTTCTACTTTAATTGATCACATTTATATAAATATAACTATATCTGGTATTGTAACTGTGGATATCTCAGATCATTTACCAGTTTTTTGTATTGTTGATAATTTTGTTAAAAAGAATAGAGGATAAATTTCAGAGATTTTTCAAATTTTGATCAAAACCAGTATGTAAGTGATATGTCACTTGCACTGATTGGGATAGTATTGTTAATCAGGATATTGACCTGCATTCAAAAACTAAATTATTTCTTGATTCACTAATTAAATAATTAGAATACCTAGAAATAAATTAAAACAAAAACCCTGGATAACTAATGGATTGTTAAAATCAATTAAGGTGCCCTTACCAAACTGACAGATATGTGGCATGCAGATATATGTCAGTTCTGTAAAATATCTGCAAAATATATGTACGAAAGTATCTGTCTAACATATCTGTCACAGTTTATATATGACAGATATCTGTCACAGTTATGACAGATATCTATCACATATCTGCAACATATAGGAATTTGGCCCAATAACATATCTGTCACAGTTATTTGACTATCTGTATATTATCTACCAAACAGATATGTAACATATCTACCACCAAGTGAGATTTATCTCTGGCATAAAACCATTTCCTCTTACTTCTGCAACATCACATTGCTGCAACTGTACCTCTGTCATGTTCACTTGAAGCCGTAATAATTTAACACTAAGAAATACTAGATCAGAATATTAATTGTATTTATTAGTAAATATATAATTATAGGTTACACATATAGATAAATTTATACTGTGCAATCAATTTTTCTCCAGGGGCCAGTTGTTCAAGCCTGGATGAGCTTAACCCTAGGTTAACCTAAAATTCAGAGCAAACTTCCTGACAGCTTGTCTATAAATTTGGAAAGATTTATTCAGAGATCTTGTCTGGATCGACAGGAGTTTTCTTCTCTGAAGTTTTGAAATAAACAGATGTGTAGAAATACAAACTAAAACAGCAGGCTAAATTTTAACCCAGGGTTGGCACTAGTCCAGCATTGAACAACCGGCCCCTGGGGCAGAGTAATTACACTTACTATAACCTACACTTATTTAAAATTTCCTAATATTATATAATTATATATAGATGGCCAGAAATAAATAAGGAGTACCTAAAAGTCATCAATTGTTAATGCCAAGTCTCACTCAGCCAGTTTGCTTTTAGTTCAAGCCCCACAGCATTTGTCCTGTACCGTGTACTGCATAGCAGCTGTCTTTCCCTAGACTGTATCATCCAGAACAAAAGCTGAAAAAATAGGAATTTATTTTATTTATTTTTTATTTAATATGTTTTAGATTTAATTGGCAGTGAGAATAATCTAGATAGTGTTAGGCCAAATAGGGGATGCCCTTAGGGTAGCCATGTCTAGTGGGTTACCAGGCTTAATTAACCATCTACTAGGTTACATTCGATTTAATACTATTTTTGTAAAGTATATTACATGAGACATTAGGGCTGACTAAAGAGTTAGGCCAAAGAAATCACCAACCCTAATCTTTTTATCTGAAGTTTGCAAAGAGTTTTCATACCCAGTTTGTGGCATTACGTTTGTCCCTGAGCTGACGGCGTGCCGTGGGAGGGTACTAATCCCCAGCTATTTACATCTGGGGAAACGAAAGCATTCCACCATTGATTGTGGGTGTGGCTCACCAACGATGTTTCGGTGGGCGATCATCCTCACTGACCTCAAAAATATGGTAGACTGACATGAATAGCGGACACTGATTGGTCCAATTTAAAGTTTGCATTGTAACAAATGATGACAGCGAAATAGCAAACATTTCTTGATTTGATGATTGATAAATTTCTTGCAAATATATTTCATTTTTGCTCGCATTTTTGCAAGATTTTGTAAATTTCAAAAGCTTTCTCAGAAAGAAAGGGCGAAAGAATCAGCTAAAAAGAAGGGGCTGACATTAACGAAGGTAACTTGTTTTAAATATTGATTTTATAATTGCTTTAGAACCCGATGGCCTTTGCATATATATAAAACAAATAAACAAGACAGCATATAATTTCAGTCTATCTTTAATGTTGATTCCCCATCTTTTTATATTGAATTTTTTAAATAAAAAAGAAAGCAAAGCTATTTGCATGTGAGAATTTGAAATCATTTTATTGCAAACTCAAAGTTTATTGATAAAGCCATTTAATTAAAGGCAGTTTAGTTTGATAAAGAACACTTTAAAATGTTTTGCGAAGCATTTGTGGTTGAATCTTACCTTAAATTGAAGCTTATATTACGTATAACAACATACCTAACATATAAATGTTGGGGAATTGATAATTTTGTAATTAAAAGTGATATTTGTAGGCAATCTTTCATTAATTGTAAGAATATTTGCTGCCGAGCGTAGCGAGGCAGCACACTATTCTTGACACGTGGTGGTTGTTCCAGAGTCCACTCGACCCAGTCTTTCGCGCGACCTATGTATAGTCGACATCTCGATCTTGTGTCCGTCTGTAAAGATGTCGTAATCCGGGGGGAATAATTAAAAGCTTCAGGAACGTTTGTTAAATGAGGGGAGCGGTCAAAACAAAATTTTGTATTGCACACGCATCTCCATGTGCTCAAGAGTTTTCAAGCTTTTAAATACGGATGCAAGAAATCGAAAATATCGGGAAAATTCAGGTAAATATGGCTCTATTTCTTTCTTCTTATATAAATCAAGGCGATGATTTTTTTAGTGTTCAATCTAGAGGCAAACAATGTGCTTTTATCAGTTAATATCGCCACTTTTAACTGCCCAAAATATACCACTGATCGATTGGTCAAAAACAACATTGAATAATGTCTTATTACAAGGAGACAAAATGTACTTGCAAGCTCTGGATAATGGCTTTGTTGTCTTAGAACCTGGTGTCGAATGTGTGTCTGTATAGATAACTTACCTAAAGTTGTCAGTGTTTCATGTTATACGAACATGTTTCCTTACGAGATATGTGATCGACACACGTAATATGCCAGCTGCAGACTGCAGTGCATGCGAAAACCACTACAACACATGTGAATCCTTTTGATGCACACAATAACGATACTATAAAGCCCATTGAGGCAAAAACTATTGATCTGTCCATTGTGGTAGAGCCCATTGAGGCAAAAACTAGTTATAAACATTGTATTGATATATTGGTGCAAGTATTTCACTTGTGTATGCCAAAAATTGGCAGAACATATTGCACGTTTTAGTCAAGCTATAGTGTCATTTTATACGACTTTTTATACTCAAATGTCATGCTACATTATATTCCACTGTTGCTGAGAATGGCAAATGACACAGCTAAAAACGCACAGGTTGTTGCAAGTTGATATCGACAGGCATGAACAATGTTGTGCGGCCAACAATGAACAAGTTGTCAACCATGTTGTTCCAAGTTGTCAGGCATGAACAATGTTGTGTGGCCAACTATGAACAAGTTGTCAACCATGTTGTTCCAAGTTGTTACAGTTCCCAAGAGTGCAATGGGATACGTTCCATTGCACTCTTTGCGAGTGCAATTGTACTATACGTGATAATCAGTCTTAATTTGCAACTAATTGATAATCAGGCTTAATTTAAAGGGGCCCTACAATCATTTTTTAGTTGAAAAGCCACCTTTAGGTATTGTTTACATTTCTTGTTATTGTTGCTACTTGACATGCGCACCACAGCATGCATGCACCTTCCGGTGTGCGGAAGTAGTCATACTCATAGATACTGCATGTAAGATACAGCCAAACGAACCTGCTTGAAGTCCACTACTTAAGGTGGTTTTTCGACTAAAAAATGACTGTAGGGCACTTTAATAATCTGTGAATCAAATCGAAACCTTGACATCTCCCCCGGGCATACCCCCGAGAACTTGGATTTTGACGTTTTGGTCAGGTCAAATTCCCTACATATATTTGTAATTCCTGTTCAAATACACCATGTATTGTGAAAAATTGGAGTTCAAATAACCCACCCCATGTATGAATTAGAGCTACAGCATTTCATAATTTTGGAATTACAAAGTTTTTCTTTCCTTCACAAACGATCTCTTCAATCATTCAAAGCCGTTTTCTTGTAGCCAACCAAAGACAAAGTTAATTTCTTCACACTTGAACTCATCCATTGTCATTGACACCATTTTGGATTCAGCACATGTGTTTAATTAAATTCCCGGGTCAAATTCGAGTCAAATTCCCGACCCCCTATAAGCAAATTCCCCACCTTCCACTACAAAAAAAGTCAAATTCCCGCCTTCTTCAAACACTAAACAAGCAAATGCCAGGGGGGGATGTCAAGGTTTCGATTTGATTCGCGCAGAAGATTCCTATAGCAACCCAGTGTGGATTGTTGTTTGCATATATTAACTTACCAGCAGTAATAGATATTATGTCCATTGTTAGCATAATATGAAGTAATTTTATCGGCCTATTCATATGTTCACCTGACTGTGTCACTACATTTCAGCGGGTATACTATATTTTTCGATAATGCTCACAATTTTTTTCTTATTATATAGTTTTGCAGTTCTGGCTGAGTACAATCTTAATCATTACAATGAATGGTGTCATCTGAAGCTGATGTATTAATTAAACAAAAATGTCAACAAGGGTAGCCATGAAGGTGCCATTAAAACAATATTTGGGACAAAAACTGACTTAGTATTTCTATATACAGTATGATATTATACAGTATTCAGTGGCAAGCTAGTCATGGCAACTGGTAATGCTATATGCTAATAAACCTACAACATTTGAATAATCTAAATAATAAATTTGCATAGCATGACCTAGCTGTTGCTATTGCTAGCTTTGCCACAGAAAGTATTATAATTATACACACAAAAGTAAGAAATTATAATTATTGAAGGTACTGTATTCATATTATACCGTCTATGCAGGCCAAGCTAAGAAAGTAGAATTAGAATATTTAGCTGACCTCCGACTTTGTGCAAGGTGTTTGATATTCAAATTGCATTTTTCCTACTTCCTGAACAGGCATCTTACGGGGCTATTTACATGTTGGGAGGGTGGGGTGATTTTGATGTATTGAAATAAGGCTAAACAAAAGTTTAAATGCTGGTTAACAGAACTCAAATGTTGTAAAGAATATTTTTGCAGTTCAAGAAGATTATTATCGCCAGGAGCGTCGGAATGGTTGTAAAAGTGGGGGACACACTTTGTGTCCACCAAAGACAGGTGACGACAGGTAACAGTGTAGGGGGGTCCAGGGGCATGTCCCCTGGGAAAATTTTAAAACTAAAGTCTCTGAAATGCCATTTCCTGCACTTTAGAAGGAGATTTACGGAGTTCTAAAGGTAACAAAATGTCATAAAATATCTCAAATTGTTTTGTCTACACAGGTAACTGAAATAATATCATTTAACTTTGTGGTTTATTACCGACCATTGTTAAAAAGTGGGAGGCCCAAGGACATTTAGCCCCCCAACTAAAAAAGTGAGGGTGCGGCAGCCCCCCTGGGCCCTCGCTTCTGCGCTTCTGAAGCCCCATTGCTGAAGCTCCTGATTATCGCTGCCTGAACAACCTTTCATTTACAGTTAACTATAATCTATCTGAATCTCTTGAAAATAATGTAGTCTTGCTGAATTATGCACCATAACTTATTTTAATATATCGAAATCATCCCACCTCATATCTCGTCCTGGCAAAGCGGGATCATATTCAGCAAATTGTGCATGCTGCCTTTGTTCCCTTGGGGGCGAGGCAGCACTTTCCTTGCGATAGTAACTCCTAGTTAAGCATGCAAATAGCTGATTTTTAGGGGAAAATGTAAGTTTGCGCGAATAGTTAAAGGGCTTAAACTAAAGCAAATTGTCTGAAATTTTGTACAGTAATTACAAACCCAACAAATTTTTCATCTATTAACTCACAATATGATTAAAGCTTTTAAATTTTGTGCGCAAGTCATTTTTAGTCTGTTGGAAAAGACACCACCACCCCCCCTCCCCCCCCTGGTTCACAAAATTTGAGTTCGAGAAATTTTTTTCATTATTCTAAATTATAACCCTATTGCTTTATTTTGCTCACCGGATAATACTGGACATCATCTGGTGAAGTATATTAATCCTGTCCTAGGACTGGATCAAAATTAATTCAGTCCTTGGACAGGATCAAAATTAATTAAGTAGTGATTTATTTGTATGAGATTTCATTTCAAATCCTCCAATTCGGACTGGACAGATTTTAAGTCCACGCAATCTGACGGAATTGGAATATTACACCCAATACTGTGAGCAGGATATGTGTTTACTTATTACAGTCGATTTCACGAAACGTTGCCGACCACAAATGTTTCGAACTTCGTTGCGAAGTTCGCAAGTTCAAAAGTTCATAATGGATTACACAAACCAGTTTGACTACGCATTTGATTGGCTTCTTTTACTTCAGGGACCAACTAGGGACCTTGTTTACAAATTGGCTTGTGAATTCCAATATGAACGTACTTGCGAACTTCGGAACATTTGTGGTCAAAGTTTAGTGAAATCGACTGTAAATTGCATATGAAACGTTTTATTGTCTTATTTAAAATAATCAAAAACTATTTAATAACTTATTTTGCAGTTTTTGTTCCATTGTTTCGTTTTCGAGATATTTCAGTTAGTTTGATATACGTATCAAGGATAATACTGTACCTCACAAAATGCATAATGAGTTCGCTGAAAATGTTATATTCTTGTTATTATGAAATCAAATAACTAAGGAATCTAGGTATTTGATGTTGATTTATGATTTATTAAAGAACATATAAAATCGCACCAAATGGTGAATTGCTTCATATTTACACATGAGATGGTTACATATTAGTAAAGTGAATATATTTACAATAAAAACTATTGTAAGTGATCGATTAATTATTGATTGCATATTTGAGACATGAAAGGGAAAATGCTATTTTGAAAACGATTAGTTCTACAATTATATGATGTTAACGGCTTATTGACCGAGCGTGAGGTCTGTAGTGTGAAATATTAGACCGAGGTTTTTTAGTATGGACCGAGCGACGAAGGAGCGAGGTCCATGCAGAAAAAAGAGGTCTGATATTTCACAGTACAGACCGAACAAGCGAGGCCAATAATCCGTTCATTATATGGCTGAACTGAGTCTGTTAGCATATGCTTTTCGCGCAAATTAAATCGGCTATTGTCAGTTTCACTGGGTCAATATACGGTAGGCATGCATGCTCAATCAAAAACAATTTAATTGTTTGAAATTTTTATCTGTAAATTTTAATGACACACAATTGGAAAATTAAAAAGCAAAAATTTTAGCAAAAATTTCCCGCCAGATAAACGACACCCGGGACACCGGTCCAGATACGAAAAATACGGACCACGGTCCGGATATGGGTTTTTACGGACCGCTTGTCAACCAATCAGAATAGAGAATTTTGAAAAGCCATGTATACGGACGTCATGGCAAGGTTAAGTTTTGCAAACATGTTTTAAATTAAACAAAAATCCGATTTAAATAGCAAAACTTAACTCACCTTTTGTAAACTCGGAAAACAAACAATCATGAAATGTTTGGGTCTGGCGACAATTTCCGAAATTGTGAACATCCTGAATCACATCCAGTGAGCTCCATATATATCTGGACCAAGAACTTCAGCCATTTGGCCTATGAGAAAAGTGAAGCCAAGATGGCTGCCATTGACATCCAATAACTCTGAAGGTTGTAAACAGCTTTTTATACCATTTACCCCAGCTAATTCCAGTTTTTTTCTAACGGACCATATCGCTAACCAAGTTATCAGCAACCGTAGTTAAATCGATGTAAAAATACGAAATTTCGGCACTCTCGTTGCCAAGTTGGCGGAAATTGAAGGAGCCATTGGACGTCAGTTCCAACCCCTTTCTATTGTTTTTGACTGCGCGGTTAACACGAAGCTGGTTTCACTTTTTGGATTCGAATTCTCCCTCCAGATATATATGGAGCTCACTGGTCACGTCCTGGTAGTGTAAGATAGTGGCTAGATAGTGCTAAGATAGTGGCTAGCCACCTCAAAAACAGGGGCGGCGTTACAGGGGGTGTGGGGGGATACCCCCCACTCTTCAACAAATCGGCAAATTATTATCTGAGACTGGATTGGCTAAAGATAACCACTGAAGAAACCAAAATTGACTTCCTGAATAATTGAATTCAAACCGATTATCACGACTAGCGTGCATCAAAGAAACCACACATGCAGCAATGCAAATTCTTTCTAACTAAATTTGTTTGGTTGTTGTTGTCCAGTTGTTGTTGCTTATTATACTGTTCTATAAAAGAGGCAATAAAGCGGTCGGCTTTCCACCAGCGAATTTTTTCGCACGAAGCGACCTTTTCCTTTGTTGGTGTCACTTATTACGTCAGCAAGACGTGGCAAAATCAGTCCTCGAAAACGAGGTCGGCATTCCAAGGTCAGCAAATTTTTGCCGACCTTAATTCAACCAAAGTAAGAATTTTTTAGTGCTGGTAGCTGTTAAAAAGTCAGCGATTATAGAATTCGATTCGTTAGTTCGACTAACTGAACACACTGGAGTTTATCTATTAGTCGAGTGTCGAGTGTCGAGAGTTAAAAGTCGAGGGCGAGGGTAAACATGAGCTCCACCTTTGATTTTACTATATGAGTAAATTCTTAAACACGTCCGAATTTATCATTATGATAAATTCGCGGCACATTTTGAATTTATCAATAGAGTTAATCATAAAACCACAAGCATTTCACAAATTTTCCCGTTATAAATGTAATGGCACTAAAAGGGAGGCTGGTCGCGCAGGCGTGGGCGGTTTTTCAATTTTTTTAAAAAAATAGTTTTTAAAAAAGTTTTAAAAAGTTTTAAAAGAGTTTTGAAAAGCAAGAAAAGTTTAAAAAGTTAGATTTTCAAAAAAATTTAAAAAATTTAAAAAGTTAAAAAAATAAGGGTTAGTGGTTAGGGGTTAGGGGTTAGGGGTTAGGGTTGGGGTTGGGGTTAGTGTTAGGTGCCGCGAATATATTATTATGATAAATTCAAAATTTGCCGCGAATTTATCATAATGGTAAATTCGGACGTGTTTAAGAATTTACTCATATAGTAAATTCAAAGGTGGACCTAGGGTACTGTGGAACAAGTATTTGTAAATTCTACCCCCTTTAAACAACGCGAGAGCGACAACGCCACTACAAAAAATGCATTATTTGACAATTTTAAAGAGAAGGTTGAATATGAAATATCAAATTTATTGGCTAAA